AACAGGATGTGGACCAAAACATTGTCAACCTAACTGCAATGTGACAATTTTGAATTCGATAATAATGGGAAGCGACAACTCAACGGAGAAAATCATAATAATGAGAAGTCACAAAAAAACGGAGTGAAAAGTCAAGGGAGAAAATCATACATTTGAATCCGTTTTGCAATGGTTGGAGGATGTTTCATGCTCTTTTAAAATATTGACAGAATCTATATTCTTAGGTGTTTGTTGCGGGTTATGTTAAAAATACTAAATTTTTTATCAAATAAATTATTAAAGGATTTCATAGTTATATAAGATATTTGATTATTTATTTGATAAAAAATTTAGAATCTATAACATTTTTCATATTGTTACATTGAAAGAATTTTATTGAATTTATAGAAAGTAATGTTACACAGAGCCGTTTTGGGAGTCAAAATAAAAAGTCATGTTTTTGGCAAAATGTTCAAAAATGAGTGGCAAAAACGCAACAAAATTGATTTGGGAAGTGCCAAAAATGCAAGTGTGAAATTACAAATTGGGGCCTATGACAAAAAAATAAAAAAATAAATTTCTTATGTTGGGTAAGGGTATTTTGGTCATTTTAATTTGATTTGACATCATAAACAAATATTAAACTAAAAAGTCAAAAGCTAACTTTTTACCAACTTCTCAAATCACTTTCCAAACAAGATGAGTAAATAACAGATAATATGGTAGTTTAAGACTTCTGCTTGTTTGTTGGAAATAAATTTTTTTTTTAAATTAGGTAAATTACAAATAGACCTCATTTTCTGGAAATTATATCTTCTCTCTTAAAATTTTTAATTTTATAACAAATGACTCATTTTATTAATAAGTTACCAAGTCAATTAATAATTTTTAGTTATGTTAAAATTTTATTCAATTAATAATTTAGGTAATTTTATCATTGTATATGAGAACAGTTAAAAATTTTCTTTTTTAGATAATTCTTTCAAATAAAAAAATCAAACAATAAGGTATTTATAATTTTTCAAACCACATAAAACAATTCGTATTTTAAACAAATTTTAAGAGCTATATTTGTAATTTGTTTTTTATTTTTTAAAATGATATGACAAGTCGTTTGAGTTCCTAAAAAAATATGTACTTTTTGAATATTTAGGGCATGTTTGGTAACCATTCTGTTTCAATTTATATTTATAAAAATTTTAAAAATTATCATAAAAACTTGTTTGATAATTTTTTTGATTTATAAATGGTTGTCTCAGTTTATAAATTTGAGGAAAAAATATAAACTCAAAAAATGAGTTTACGTTTTCAATTAATTTTTTTTTCAAATAATTTATTTTCAATTTTTTTTTACAATTAATTTTTTTTCAAATAATTTTTTTTTTCAATTATTTTTTTTTCAATTAATTTTTTTTTTCAAATATTTTTTTCCCAATTAAATTTTTTTTAATTAAAATTTTTTTTCAAATATTTTTTAAAATTATTTTTTTTTTCAATTATAATGTGTGTGATCCCATTGTCATAAATAATAAAAATAAATATAAATATTTTAGGTCTGAACAAACATATTTTTTAATTTATGTTTTTAAAAAATTTTAAACATTTTATTTAAACCAAACGCGTTTTTAATTTTTGTTTTTCCAAAAATAAACAAAAACCAATTTATAAAATTTTTATAAACATAAACAAAAAACGTAAACGTTACCAAACGCTACCTTAATATTTTGAATTAATAATTCACTTTTTGAGCGACTTACAAGTAGGATAATTTGGGCGAACTCAATCCGAGTAATTCAAGTCCAGTCTGAATTTTTTCAAGATTTGGATAATATATTTTTGAATTTGGTACGGAACTTGAATAAAAATTCAAAAGTTCAAATTAAATTTTGACGGACTTGACGGGCTTGAACAAAGGTATCAAACAATTCAAGCAACTCGAAGCCTGAACTATACATATATAGATATATAAAAATATTAAATATAGACATAAATTATTAGTCATTACATGATATTAAAGTAATTGAGATTATTAAATCATATTGAATATATTATATACACAAGTAACATAAAATCTTACCTCTTTTATTCTCACTCATAAATTGTAAAGACTACCATAGTGCATCTTTCTTACCTTATATAAATTATTTGGTTTGACGTTAATGATTTTCAAAAAAATTATAAATAGAGTATAATTTTAATAAATTAATAATAATAATAGATGAAATTAATGTATAATTCAGACAATTCCAGTAAGCCGGGCAATTCGAGTTTAACTCGGGCCGGACTTGGATAGACAATGTTGAGTTACAATTTGAGTCTGAACGAGTCTGAACAGATCTCAGCACAATTTAGACTACGATTGAATATTCTCCCAATCTGACTGAATTGCACCCGTACCTACAAGCTGGGAATCCTTATTCAACTACAAAAACAAGAAGGTAATCAAAGTTGAACATGTTTAGCATAATATGCACTCACTGGTTTCACATTTGTTATAGAAAAATGTTTGAGGGCCCGAAATATGAGGCTCGAATCCGGCTCGAAGTCCAAAACGACGTCGTTTTGGGCTTCAAATTTTTTTTTTTTCTTTTTCTTCTTTTCTTCTTCTTATTTTCTTCTTTTCTTCTTCTTCTTCGTTTCTTTGAACACAGGAGAAGCAGAGGCGAGAGAGAAACAGAGGGGAGAGGCGGGAACTCGTCGTCGCAGCTCGTCGCTCGTCGGCTGATTGTCGTAGCTCGTTGCTCGTCGCAACTCGTCGGCCGATCGCCGCATCGCAGCCCCACCTCCGCCTCCAGCCCGATTTTGATGACCCCTCCAGTTCTGCTTCTCATTCTTCTTCTTTTTCCTCCTTCTCTTCTTCTTCTTCTTTTTCTTCCTCCTTCTTCCTTCTCAAATTCGAGTCAAATTCGAGCCGGGGCTTTCGGGCTCTGTAACGGGGCTGATAGAAAAATCAACAATGGCGGTGGTCACAAGAATGATAGCCACAGCAGCAACAAGCAATGCCACTAATTCATTTTCTCATCATCTTTCAACAACCTCAATTTCTTTTCCAAAACATCGATCAATGTCTACAAGCAAGCATCCGCAAAGCCCTCATTGTCGTCATCGGCCATCAAGTTCTCTACTACATTAGCTGAAGTAATGTCAGTCTGTTTCAACAACCCTTCAATTTGGGGAAATAATTCATTATTCTTAATACCCTAATAGTTCTTTGCCAATACCTTGAAAGCTTTAGATTGGCGAGATTTGAAGGCAGCACCATCAACGAGTGAAGATCCAAAGGTGAAATCATCGACGAGTGAAATCTCAGCTCTAGAGCGCAAATTTGAAGGGGACACCGTCGATGAGCGAAGGGCGAGATGGCTCCAGCAGCGGCAACGAGAGTCAGCGCCGGTGCCTTGGCTTCAAAAAAGCCTTCGATGAAGAGAGAGAAGAGAAAGACATTGATTGGATCAAAAGGGTAGAGAGAGAGAAAGATAGAGAGAGAGGTGTTGATAGAAGGAGGAGTGAGAGAAGGAGGAGGAGGAGGAAAATGAGGGTAAGAGAGAGAGAGGGTTAATAATGTTTGAGAACTTTAATTTGAGTGCTCTAATGATGTGGATAGCATTCATGTGAAGGTGAGATCCATACTCCTCTCTTTATCTCTCTCTACTCTCTTTATCTCTCTCTACTGTCTTTATTTCACCTCATTAGAGTTCTATTTAGAGTTTTAATGAGCTCTATTTAGAGTTCTCAAATTAGAGTTATGTATCATTACTCAGAGGGGATGGGGAATTTGTTTTGAACAAATAAATGTTTGTATGTTTTATATGTATTGCGGGTAAGGCTGGATATAGGGTTATTCGAACCACATAACTAGCCCAACCCAAGCCGATTCGTATATAAATTGGCGGTTTCGCAAACACAATGCGGGCGGATGCGGTTTGGAATATGACATTATTGCGAATTACGGGTTTTACCAGCACCCGCAAGAACTTGCCCATATTTAGACCTTTTTTTAAATTTTTTTTTTCATTATTGATTGTGTATTATATGCCAATTCAATTTTCCACATATATAAAGACCACAGTATAGTAGCTTTGTAAGTAGGCTGTATTGTGCTCAATTTTCCACACATACACTACATGATACGATTGGTCGTCGCCCTCAGCCATGACAACACTTGATTGTCTATTGCATAATTTTTTCATAACTGAACATGTCCTGGATGAAGTGTGAATTGCAATTTTAAATTCCTTAATGAATATGGAGTTCTGTTTACCAAAAACAGAGAATATATTTCTATGATACTGTCTCTTACTGTAGTGCTCTATGGAGTTTAATTCCATTCCTAATTAAAAATCTGTTTCTGTTTTGTGTTCTTATTCTTGAAAATTGGGTTGTGTTCTTATTGAATTTTGGATGAATATAAAAGTTAATAAAAAATTACTTTTAGGTAAGTTTAGGATTTTGAATGATTTTATTATACTTTAATTATATTGTTGGGTAGTAGATAGTGAATGAGATTGATGATTTAGTGTAGGATTTTGAAAGATGTGCTTGTGTTAGTTTATGATTTAATTTAAAAGTTTAGAATTTTAAATGATTTGTTTGTGTTAGGAATTTCATTATTTACTTAATTTCTAAATAGATCGTTGAGGTATAGTGGTTTCTTGAATGAACTTCTATTTTTAATTTTATGCAACTTCCATTTTTATTTTTATTCGAGAAATTAAACTCAAAAATAAAATAAAATAAAATAAAATAAAACCCCCAACAAAACAGCAAGTCCTTAAAACTAGAAATTCAATCCACTATCGCTTGCTTGTATTGGAAACGCCAACAGGAAAACCTTCGCCCATTTTTCACACTTAGCTCTTTTATTTGCCCTTAATTGGAATAGATTAAATCTTGAAAGTTCACTTTGGAGTTTCTTCTGTTATTTCCATCATTATTACAAGATCTAAGCTACGTTTGAATCTTGAATTTACAAATAAATTTTTTTTTTAAAAAAGTCCAAGAATACCGTTTCCAAAGTGATCAACACAAGAAAAAAACTTGAAATCCTAACATAATAAATTGCAACTCTACAAACAAACAACCGTTTCACATATACCAAGCTGAACCACCAAACTTGATACAAAGTTACATCCCAATGTGCATATCAGTATGTAAAAATAGGTAAAAACTAGAGTTTTCTAAGTATGCTTGTCCCCTTCAAAAACCAGGTGCTGTTTGGTATAAACACGGTGTCGTCGCTCTCTCCCATATATAACCCAGAAAACCAGAGAGAGCATAACTGCACCAGAAACCATAACCAGCCCAATATAGATCCATGTACTGTACTGTTCCAACCCGGGACAATAATCTCTATTTATATCAGTAAATGTCTGTCGCACAAAAGTGCAGTCTTGTAGTTCGACCAGGAATGGACCATAATGATACAACCCGTAGCTCACATTCACCCCGGCTGTCATTTGGTTGTAGATTGAAGGAGTCAAACGGCCCGTTGTGATGCAGATCCCGCTAGCCGAAACTTGACATATATAGTTTCTCCATACCTGTAAAGTTTGAGCTTTCTCAGTTCCAGATCAGCTAAAAAAAACAAGCTGCTAAAAAAGCAATTGCCAAACTCCAACTTTTGCCAACTTGGAAAGCCTGTATGTGGATTTTTAGTTCAAAACTTAATTTTGAGAGAACAAAAGAGTACAGTTTCACCAGGAATTTCTCAACTATCACAAAGCAACACTACACAATATTGCTTTATTTATCTATTTCAATGTTGTAATTATTTTTACTTTACCTGTGTCGCGTTGCTCAAGTCGACTTCACCAGCAGCACAAGCTCGATCCGTCAAATCAGAATTGAAAGGGTTGCACAGGGTTGACAGCAGAGGACCGGACTGATTGTAGTACAACGGCGCAAAGTTGGGGGAGAAATTGCCATTAGAGACGTTGGTGATGACCTGGTTAATCACATTGACGAGTTGAGAAGTGACTTCTTTGCTTTTTAACAAGGTTTCTTGAGCAGTGGCATTATCGATACAAGGCAGTATATCATCTAAAGCTGTATGTGCGGTTGGGTTTTGGACCCATTGATCCATCGAAACACAAGTGTCTTCAGCCACACTAATTGCCAAACAAAGAACAATTAGATTATTTGAGAACGTCAATTAGAAAATCAGAAAAAATTATCTAAATTAACAATGGAAGGGCTTCACTGAGAATAGTACAAAGGATGCATTTAGATGCAACTTGAGGAGAGAGCCATGGGTAACAGTAGCCAAAAGGGTTTTGAAAATTTGAATTTCACATGAAAAGAAAGTGAACATGAGGAAAACTGTTTCGTGTTTCTAACATGAGGAATTCCAAAGGAGACAAATTTTCAGTACTCCATGTAACTTTTTATGGTGTCTATACCAATTACGCAACCTACGAGCCTGTTCAGCATTTTTGTGTACCCTTGGCGATATAACAAGGTTTATAAAAGCCAAACGACACGATCACACCATTTACTACCCCCAATAAGCTAAATGCTCTCTTTGTAATTTCACAAATCATAGGGACATTCATCTAATGTATAAGGTAGAGTTAAGACCGAAAAAATCACAATGACACCATGAGGACATTGCACATAACTGTAATCTACACCGAGTGCACACAACACAGAGAGAGAGAGTAGTTTGTGAAAATAAAAGGAAACCAAATATGTGAAGGAGGATTTTTTATATGAAGGATGTCATGATGGAACTTACTTGTGTAGAAGAAGAAATATGCCACACAAAATAAATGTTCCTGCAACGAGTATCCATCCAATGATCACCAAGCTGCAACAATTTGAAAGCACTCCTTGAGAAAGATACGCAGAAAAAGCAAAAGAATGGAACTTGAGTTTATATGAAGATACAGTCTCACTCACATGTACACAAGAAACTGCATGCCGAGTAGTGAGAATACTGGACCAAAATACAACCAAAATAAATAATTCAGGTATCAGTATGACTTTTTAAAAAAAAAGGACAAACAGAAAGGTTCTGAAACTGATTAAGGGATTCAATGGAGCTTACAGAATCCAAGAAATGTCAAGACAAGCATAACTGCGGCAAGTATGATAAGAGCCAGTCTTCTGCAAAAAAATTAGAACTTCCTTTTTCATATCAATAATTAAACTAAAAGAACTGACAAAAAGCACAAAAGAAAGTTCTCAAATTTGTCATTTACACAGAATCCAAGAGTTGTTTTATGTCTCCTGAATTTTTCGTTGTTCTAGCAGCAAGGGTGCTAGCAGAAGAGTTGATCTTGGTTTCAATCTGATCAATGTCGGTTTGGACATTAGAAGGCAGAAAAACTTGATCTACTCCGACTTGCTTAGCTGCACTAAGATATCCTGAAACATTCGTAAGTTTCTCCACAGTGGTATTGGCTTGCTTTACAACATAGTCCAATGTTTTTGTTGTAATATCATGAAACTTCCCCTGTCCAGTGTACAGAACAACACATCCAACTATTGCAGCAACGGTGAAGAGTATGAGGAAAATAAGAGAGAGAGCATAAGCTGTTCGAGAATAGCCATAAGGCGCCCTTCTACAACAGAAATAGCAGAGACAGATGAAAGATAAGCACAGTCCAAAGACCACAAACCAGATAGCCGCAATGACAAAGAAGGGAGCAGCAGTTAAAGCCACAGACTGCAAGTAACGAAAAAGAAAAGAAGTTAGTGGGAAATAATTTAAGAAATAAACTCTTATGTTAGTCAGTACCCGAAGACTGAAACAAATAAAAAATGTACATGATGTTGTTATCTAGAAATTAGTCAAACTCAAGCAAGAGGATCAGTAGAAAATTTGAATGTTCAACAAATAGTTTCAATATGGGTTTCTGGATTAGTTAATTAAACAAAAATATAACATGGTAAGAAATGTGCTTGTCAATGTGCGTTCATGAAGCATACAAGGAAAGTTCAATATCTTTAGCAGCAGGATTATTCTCCAAGAGTAAAAGTAAATTATTATTATTTATTTTTTGCTGTTGTTGTGGTTGATATAATTGTTTTACTTTTTGTTACTTCTGTTTTCATTGAACAATGGGGGCTCAAAGGATTGGCAACTCATCTCTTAAAACATAAGAATAAAGAGCGCTAAAATTTCTAACAAATACATAGACCTCCCCTCCGTTATCTTACCGTCTAACAACTAACAAAAAATCATGATATCAGCATTTTTAAGTGTTTAAATATCGCAAGAACCCTTGAAAACATAACCAAACACACATATTATATCCATTATCATTATAACCAAACACTCCTCAATATCCCTATCACCACAACCAAACATCCCCTTCCGCTGCCCTTCCTCCTCTCTCTCTCTCTCACCTCTGTTTATTTTCACCACCCATATTGTGGGTACTTGTATTAAGCCCAATACATGACAAACCCTACAGGTATCACATCACCAAAAACCCACCAACGTGGCAGACCAATTAGGCACCACGCACGCATGTCGTATGTTTGATACATGGCGAGCCCTACGGGCGCCATGTGCCAAGGCAGTACGCAAAACCAAGACTATATGCTTAGCCTAAGTGGAAGCATACATATAAGCCCAAATATATCTAAATATGAAGAGGCCTGCAACAGGCAACACCATGGCCCCGCAGGGCCCATGGTCCTTCATACCTCACTCCAAGACCAAACAACAATACAATCAACCCCCAATTCACTTGGACTTGGTTTGATAAATACTAACTCTCCTAAATATTGCGATAGGTCTACGGCCCATTCTCCTACTTGGTCGTTTAGAAGCGAGCTCCTCTCCTAAACATTGAGATAAGCCTGCGGCCCATTCTCCTATTTGATCACTTGGAAACGAGCCCCTGGCTCTCCTAAACATTAAGGTGGGCCCTAGCCCATTCACCTACTTAGATGCCTGGGTTGGGAGCAGGACCCAGGCACTACTGCCCGGGATCATCAAAGGATACTGGACTGACGGCTGAGGTCATGGGATCGTCGAGATGGTTGTCTTCTTGCTACGACAACTCCACCTCGACTAAGCTTGGGAAAGAGGCAACGACAACCTTATATTCATGTCATCTGATGCATATACGAAACGTTACTTTCCGTTTGCCATGAAACGTTGCTCTCCGTCTGCCGTCAAGACACAGACGGCAAAAGGGCTTATATCACTTCTGGGCTCCAATAGTTTGCTTGGGCTCTAATACTCCTGTGGCCTATATAACGTATCGTACATGCAGCGAAACACAACAACAACACAACCAAGTCTCATGTTTAAACACCTTTTCTCACACTCTACATTAGTGTTCAAGGTCTATCACTGCCAACCTCTCCCTCTCCAAGCTTGCCTTGACCTCCTCCTCTCCACCTCCGATGATCTCAGGCCAATGAAGTTCCCGCCATCTTCCCGGACTACCTCTAACCACGCCATACAGCCACACATAGCAACAGGATTGCCACCACCAAACATCCTACATCATCATCCACCACACACCACAACCTACTACCATTGCTAAGCATATGAACACACCCAGAATCACAATAACATTCTTCTCACAGATGTTTAGCTCGCTGCTACCAGTTCTTCATTCCATTCGTTTGGGCATTGAGTCCACTATCGCAGTAAAATCATTTCACTCACTTTCACTTCACGCGTATATATAGATACACAAAATTAAGGAGGGGAGATTGGATCGATTATCTCAACAACTGGGGAGATTGGAACAGATGTGGTCTACAGAATTAAAGTGAAGTGGCTTAAGTGAAGAAGTGCGTCTGGAGTATTGTGCAATAAATGAGTACCCATTAGACTAAAAATAAAGCTCTATAGAACGTCTATTAAATCAACAACGTTGTATGAGATAAAATGTTGGGTAACCAAAAAACAACATGTAGATAAGATGGGTGCTGCTGAGATGAGGATGCTAAGGTGGATGTGTAGCAAGACTAGAAAAGGCATAGTTAGGAATGCGTATATTCGAGAATGGGTAAGAATAGTACCAATAGAAGATAAATTGAGAGATAATAAATTGAAATGGTTTGGTCATATACAACGGAGACCAACAAAGGCAATAGAGAAGAGAGATGCAATACAGTGACGGTAGACGGCAGTGTTAGGGGAAGGGGTATACCTAGATTGACGTAGACTAGTGTAGTAAATAGAGATATGAATCTCCTTAATTTGACTAATGAAACGGCCTTGGATAGAGTTGAGTGGAGAAGAGAGATTCATGCAGCCAACCCCATTTCATGGGACTTAAGACTTGGTTTGGTTTTGTTTGGTTATACATATATTTTGTGTTAGAATTTACCTACACCTACCACCACCTACTACCACACCTATTACACCTACCACCAATTTACCCTCACCTACTCCTCACCTACTACCCAAACCCTCTCCTATATAATGAGCTACTCTGCTTTGTAATATAACATATCAATGTATCAGATCTAATATCAATCAATAATACAATTCTCTATTTCTCTTTATACATCAAATTTAACATTTTGATTGTAAAAATCACACATATATAGATATAAACATAAACATAGACACACCACCTGTGTTTTTGAATTGATGTTGCAACAATGGGTTAATATGGATACATATATATATATATATATATACTATGAAGCACCGACAAACAAATGTCGTACCTGTGTCAACACACAGACACATTAAAGATAAGCGAACACTTCGGGGACACGTATGGGACACACCACATGGTGTGTCCCATTATTTAATTAATTTATTTTCAGGGGACAGGTCGGGAACACTTTGGGGACACACTAGGGACATGCCAAGTTGTTTTTTCTCCCATTTTATTTAGTACTTTTGATGAATGTTGAATGTTTATTATTTTTTTTTTTAGATTTACATATTTAATAAATCATCCATTAAAAAATATATATAAACTATGTTGATTTAAAAGTATTCTTTTTAATTAAAAAAATAGAATTAGAGTTAATTTTTATTAATATTGATTGTTTGTAGATGTAATATTAATGTAGGTAGCAAATAAAAATATATGAAAACATATTTTATTGTTATGCCCCACCGTATCCGTATCCCAATTTTTTTGAAATCGCTATGTTCTGTATCCGCATCCATGTATATATATATATGAAACTAATTGCGATAGGGAATGAGAAAACCCAAATGGGAGACTATGTTTGAAGGGGGACCGACGTCAGTGGGCGATTGGGTGGTTTTTCAAGTGGGTTTTGGGTGAATGCTCTATGATAATTTTTTTAAAAATATTTACATGCATATACAAAATGTAGGCCGTGGGTTTTTGTTAGAGGGGAGTTTAGTGGTGGGTCTGCAGAGGGTTTGTGATGGAGATCTGGAAGCCCAATGATCATGATCGCAAGCATCCGATGATGATCCACTATTGCGATTTGAGTGCTCTGTCCCTGTCCGTATCCAACACAAGTCAAATTCCAACACAGTGTAGATACACGAGTCCATGCGCTAGGCACGCTATGTAACGTATCGATTTTCTTAATTATTATTACCTTACAAAACAAGTTGGGGATATTTCACAAACACATAGGTTGTGTTTAGACACGTCTCATGACACACTGGTGGGTTTCTTTAAAAAAAAAAAATTTTAAAAAGCTGATTTGAGGTCAAAGTAAATATATGAAAACAAAGATGGGAAACAAAAAATACTCCTACATGTACATCAATGCCTCTCAGGTCTCTGCCTAAATTTATATTCATATAGATAGTAAATAATTTTTCTTTTTTCCCATGTCCCCCCAATGTCCATATCTTTTTTTTTTCTTTTAAATTGTTGTGTCCCGTGTCTATATAGACTCTATACATGCGTTTGTGTCCATACATGTGCATGTTTGTGCTTCTTATATACTAAAGATCTGCATCCAAGGAAGACTATTTTGTATATCCAATAAATTATGAATGCACAATTTGCGGTTAAGCTATCACTGTAAAATGACCAAAGTCAAACATCCATTCCTAAGATCAACATCATTAACCAACATGATCTGTAGTGTCACATTAAGGTCACTCTTTGCTTAGAGATGAAGTTTGAACTTTGATCATCATTGGCAAATCATAATGTCATCTCATTTGGTTGAAGAAACATAAAGACTTTACCATTATTATGGACTTTGAAAGCCCAACTACAATAGAAGACCTTAGCCTGGTCACAGAAGACCTTTTTTCAGCCCATTAAGGAAGCTGCACCATTTTCTATTTGCTAATACAAACCATAATGCATATAACAACAAAGCAGACAATTGTAAGCAAATTTGTATTTGATAACAGTTTGCTTATTTTCAATGAACATGGACTGGAGTTTGAGAGAATATAATCATATGCTGTCCAACATTTCTCACACTCACGGATATAGAGAAGTCAAAATCCCATAGGGCTACAATTTGAATTCAAAAAATTTATATTCAATTTACAATTGTAATATATATAGCCTTTCCATGTGAAGGATTTGCATAGCATATATACATCCTTCTTTTATGCCCCAAGCAATGGTCAATTACATTATTAATTGATATTTATAGTGACAACTATCAATGCTGATTCGTATCCAACATATCATTTCTTTTCAGCATATCATTTCTTTAATTTAATATAGAAGAGCAAGTCACTTTTACCAACAAAAAAAAGGAAAAAAAAAAATTATATGATAAGATTACCCATAGGTCACGAGTAAAGAGGTTGCGCGGGACAGGATTATTTTATCTTAGGATAAAAGTATCCCACATTTGGTATACATTTTATGACTTGGGATAACTTACATTGGTTTGGTGATGGCTATTTTATCACATATGGGGTGGAAAACTTATTAAAATACTCATTATCCCAAGATAACCCAGCCGCAAACCAAACGCATTTGTAATTTTATGTTTTTCTAAAAATAAATAAAAATTAATTTATAAAATTTTTATAAATATAAAAAAATAATAATAATAATAAATAAATAAATAAAAAACAAACGTAAAGGTTATCAAACCTTACCTAACCAATTAGTCAACCCACAATTGAAAATGAAAACCAGGAGAGCCACAAACCAAACATGACATCAATTAATTCTACCCAATTACAATTGCAAAATCAAAACCAAGAGGTGCAGTAAATAAAATAAAACACACCCCATAGTTTTAGCATATTTATATTGATCACGCTTTTAGTAATGCTTAAAGTAACCAGAATTCATACAGATTGTGTGAAAGACATGGATATAAATGAGAAACACACACACACACACACACACATATATATATATTAGTGTAAAAAAAATGCCATCATTTTATGATTAACGAATTATTGATGAAAATGAAACTACCAATGTAATTATTACAAAACTATAAGGCTTGCTCTATTTTCTCTAAAACTCAGGGAAATAACTGTAATTCATCCATATAGATATAGATATAGAAACATATGCATATATTGCAAATCAAGAAGACAAAATCATTCAAGGGTTGAGGGACTTACAGCCCAGTAATGGGGCTCCCTAATGTTCCAACCTCCTGAGTATTTCTTGAACCCATTAAGAGGGTCTCTTCTGTGAGTCCTCTTGGCAGCCAAGATAAGAGATGAGTTCAGAGGACCTTCACCATTGGGTCCCTCCGCAAGAAATCTTTTGGTCCCCCAAGAAACCACACCATATTCTGCTTCAAAAACTTTCCCTGAAAATCAATTTTTTTTTTAAAAAAAAGGGTAATAAAATCCTGACTTCGATCTAATCCCTCAAAAAAAAAAAGAAGCAATTTTTTTGCAAGAAGTACCTGAAGTGGGTGGTGATTGGAAGGTGAGAAAGTCTGAGTCTCCATGTGAGAAAGAAAAGAAGAGAGAGATGGTAAGAAGAGAAAAGAAGAGTGATTTGTAACATGACATTTTATAAGTTTTCTAGTTCAAGAAGATCTGCCCTCATCAATGGGTTGGTTGTCTCTCAACAGAGGGTATTGAAGTGAACACAAAGCTACCAACTCAGTTCTTGAACAGAGAGAGAGAGACAGAGAAAAGATAGAAAGTTGTTTGTAGGCACTTATTGCTAGAAAGAGATTGGGATTATAACAATTGGAGATAGAGAGAGAGAGGGGTACGTGTGGCGGTGTGGGGTTTGAATTGTTAAGGAAAGATGGGGATGGTGGGGTTGGGATGTTCGGTAGGAAAAATTATTTGTGAGTTCACTCAAATATAATCAATTATAATTGAATAATATTATATATTTTAATTAATGTACTGATTAATGATGTATATAATTTAATAAGTTATTAGTATTTATAATTTGTATAATGAGTAAAATTAATAATAAAGTCATAACTAATATTAATACACTAATTGATATATGTAACATCACTGATTATAATTTATTAATCTTTTTATATTTTTAATTATTTAGGCCAAGTTTGGGAAGACTAAATAAGTGCACTTTTTGTCTTTTTGGACTAAAAAATTGAGATTGAAAATATGGATGTTTGGGTTAACTTTTTGACTTTTTATGGAAAAATGTGTAATAAAAAATTGTAAAAATTGGTTTGTAGAGGAAAATTTGAATTGGGAGTTGTGCAGCCGTAATTGTTGACTTTTGATGAATAGTGTTAACTTTTTAACTTTTTGAGTAACTTTTTGACTTTTTGACTTATTTGAGACTTCCCAAACTCAGCCTTAATATAAATTCATAAATTTCATTATCCCACTAATCATAATATTATTGAAAAATGCCCTATGAGCCATTAATAACCTCTCGTTTGGGAGGCCCAGTTGCTTCTCTCGGCAATAAATTTAAAATGACAAAACTACCCTCGTTAATTGAGCTATTATTTCTGTAATTATGAACCAAAAATGCCAAACCGACATGATTAGAAAGGAAATTCATGTTTCTTGTCGGCAATTGATTATCTCAAAAATTTCAAAAGAACTCTTTTTGGTTACCTTAGCCTATAGGATTTCAAAGGAGATTTGACAACTATTTTTTTAACGACCTTTTTTTTATTTTTTATTTTCTAGTAAATTTTTTAATAAAAATTTCAAAAAAAAAAATCACTTTTAGATCTTACTAAAATAATTAAAATAAAAAGTTTTGAAAAAAATCGATTAAAGATGAAAAATAATTTTTTTTTTTTTTGGCCTTTTTGTTTTAATTGTTAGTGCACTTTTAAGAACTTGAAAAGCAAAAAAATTTCTAAATAAAAAATGGCACACAGGTCATAAGTTTATTTTTGAAAATATCTTTGTTAGTAGGCTCAGGCTTAAATATTTTTTAATCAAGTAGACATTATTTGTTCAAAAAGACATCTATTTATTCAAAACTTATTTATCTGTGTATCTGTTCAAATGTCACTTATATAAATAGAGTAAATTGTATACAAAAACTAAATACAAAATAAGACACAACTCACTCACAAGAGATGAGACCCACATCCTAACATTATTGATGTGTATATGTGTCAGCTATATATATAATTATCTGTTCAAATGTCACTTATATACATACGTTTTACATATTCACTAATCTATTTATTCAATATCATTTATTCACCTCATCACTATCAATCATCATCACTATCGGTCGACAATTTTTCGATGATCTTTTCAGTGCCGATAACTTTTTCAACGACTTTTCATCGATTAACCTAAGAAAAGCAATAACTTTTTTATATAAACAAAAATTAATTTTTTTTAATTATTTGCAAACAAAGAACCCCTATATATGTCAGTGAAATAAACTATTTCTGCCACATCAGTTTCTCTTTTTAAAGTTGATATTATTAGAGAACAAAAAAAAGTTGATAGTATATGATTTTCAAAATCTTGAATTCGATTCCCTTTTGAAGTATAAATTAGAGTATGTAATTTTGCTATGGTTGTAGCAAATTACATATTTTATGTCTAGTTGATCACCGTCATCATCATTTATATAAGAGTAATGATAAATATCATATATAAGAATAATGATAAATATCATAAAAATTATTTTATGAAAATAATTGTGAAAGATTTTTGACATTTAAACTTATTTTGTTAACTGGATTAAAAATCATGTTTTTAGTTTTTTGACATTTTAAAGTCATATCACTTTTTTATTTTTTTATATTTCTTTAAAAAAAATTAAAAAATTAATTTTTAATTTACTTCTCAAAATAAGTTAACTGACATATATAAAATAAATTATAATGCATAATACAAGGATAGAAATTCTTTTATAACTATTCTCATAAAGTATTTTTTGTAGAACCTAAGGCCTGTTTGTTTCCAGAGATAGAATGGAGGGGATTGATAGTGAGGGGATTAATAGTGAGAGAATTGTTAGTGAGGGGATTGATAGTGAGGGGATTAATAGTGAGAGAATTGATAAATTTAAAATGACAAAACTACCCTCGTTAATTGAGCTATTATTTCTGTAATTATGAACCAAAAATGCCAAACCGACATGATTAGAAAGGAAATTCATGTTTCTTGTCGGCAATTGATTATCTCAAAAATTTCAAAAGAACTCTTTTTGGTTACCTTAGCCTATAGGATTTCAAAGGAGATTTGACAACTATTTTTTTAACGACCTTTTTTTTATTTTTTATTTTCTAGTAAATTTTTTAATAAAAATTTCAAAAAAAAAAATCACTTTTAGATCTTACTAAAATAATTAAAATAAAAAGTTTTGAAAAAAATCGATTAAAGATGAAAAATAATTTTTTTTTTTTTGGCCTTTTTGTTTTAATTGTTAGTGCACTTTTAAGAACTTGAAAAGCAAAAAAAATTCTAAATAAAAATAAAATGGCACACAGGTCATAAGTTTATTTTTGAAAATATCTTTGTTAGTAGGCTCAGGCTTAAATAATTTTTAATCAAGTAGACATTATTTGTTCAAAAAGACATTTATTTATTCAAAACTTATTTATCTGTCTATCTGTTCAAATGTCACTTATGTATATAGAGTAAATTGTATACAAAAACTAAATACAAAATGAGACACAATTCACTCACAAGAGATGAGACCCACATCCTAACATTATTGATGTGTATATGTGTCAATTATATATATAATTATCTGTTCAAATGTCACTTATATACGTACGTTTTACATATTCACTAATCTATTTATTCAGGCCTCGCTTGGAACAGACTATTTTAGTAATTTTTTGATTTTTTACTAAAAGATGTGCAGAAAAGTAGAGAGGTGATGTGACTAGTTTTAATTGACTTTTTGATTTTTTGATTAAAATAGTCAATCCCCAAACGAGAGCATCATTTGTTCACCTCACCACCATCAATCATCATCACTATCAGTCGAAACGTATTCACTAATCTATTTATTCAATATCATTTATTCACCTCACTACTATCAATCATCATCACTATCAATCGACAATTTTCTGATGATCTTTTGCCGATAACTTTCTCAACGACTTTTCATCGATTAACCTAAGAAAAGCAATAATTTTTTTTATATAATAAAAAATTAATTTTTTTTAATCATTTGCAAACAAAGAATCCCTATATATGTCAGTGCAATAAACTATTTCTGCCACATCAGTTTCTCTTTTTAAAGTTGATATTATTAGAGAACAAAAAAAAGTTGATAGTATGCCTCTGTTTGAGAAGTGGGTTAGTTTTTTGACTTTTTAGTTTTTTTGATTATTTTAGTCTGGTTTAAAAGTTTGGTTTGGGAAGGACTTTTTGACTTTTTGGCTTTTTTGAATTTTTTTGTGAGAGAAGAATGTAATGATTATGGGTTGGATGTGATGTTTTGTTTGTTATGGCTAAAATAGCCTGTTTTGTTTTTTGTGACTAAAATAGCCAAAAAAACCTACAAACCCACTTGCCAAACATAGGCATATGATTTTCAAAATCTTGAATTCGATTCCTTTTGAAGTATAAATTAGAGTATGTAATTTTGCTATGATTGTAGCAAATTACATATTTTATGTCTAGTTGATCACCGTCATCATCTTTTATATAAGAGTAATGATAAATATCATAAAAAATATTTTATGAAAATAATTGTGAAAGATTTTTGACATTTAAACTTATTTTGTTAACTGGATTAAAAATCATGTTTTTAGCTTTTTGACATTTTAAAGTCATATCACTTTTTTATTTTTTATATTTCTTTAAAAAAAATTAAAAAATTAATTTTTAACTTCTCAAAATAAGTTAACTGACATATATAAAATAAATTATAATGCATAATACAAGGATAGAAATTCTTTTATAACTATTCTCATAAAGTATTTTTCGTAGAACCTAACATTTTTCATTGTTTAATATATATATATATATCTCTCTCGTACAACAAAAGTATTTCCACCACAAGACGTGTAAACCGAACGTCATTCATATTAGGACCAAATTTACACATAACCACTAAACTCAACACGCCATTAAACAGATTCTCTCCAGTCTATTATGTAGGTTGGATCATACTACTTCAATTTATGGATTTCATCACAAATTTTTTTTTGATAATTTAAATTGTTAAATGTGTAGAATTTGTCAAGTATTTTATTCTTGTAAAAAATTATATTGATCGAATATCAATAACTACTTGATCGGATTAGATTTATGTCAATAATTTATTTTAAAAATCATGTTTACTGTTGACATGAATATGATTTGATCAAATGACTATCGATATCCGATTATTGTAATTTTTTATAAAAATGAAGTATTCAGTGAGTTCTACACATTGAGTGGTTCGAATTATCAAAACAGAACCCATGGTGAAGCCCCACAAATCCAATAACACGCTCTAGTCACGCTCTAATCCAATCTCGAATTAGAGAGAACCTTGACCCTTTTAAAAACATTACAAACTCTGAAAATTTATTCAGGAATTTTATTATGTGATTTAAATTCATCTAATTATGAATTTCAAAATATAATAATTAAATCTTAACCACACAATACCATCCTGAATAAATTTATAGAAAAAATTTATGAGTATTTGATCTTGACATAAACGTATGAACTAATTTTAGTGGAGTTGGTTGCTTTTGTTGGGAGTTGAACCAGGCAACAAGTTTCCCATTCATAATCATAAGTGTGGACTTGCTAAGTGGTCGTTTGATTTCCCTCTGGGGGCTAAAAACT